GGGACTTGAGAAAACAGAATGATGGGAGGGAGGGAGGGAAGAAGAGAGGGAGGGAGGGAGGGAGAGAGAGAGAGAGAGAGAGAGAGAGAGAGCACACCAAGGGTTTTGGAAACAAGTCCTTCCCAGCCTCACCCCGAAGCTGTGTGTCTGGGAAAAATCACTTCTGCCCTCTGAGTCTCGTTGCTAGTTTTGTAAAGAAGGGCTTGTACCCCAGCTCCTGACACCTTCATGCTATGGAGCGTTCAGTAATGAATCTCCTGGGGCCTCAGTTTCCCCATCTGTAAAGGTGTGGGGGTGGCAATGGTAGTGACTACCTCCGAGAGTTTTACTGTGGATACGAAAGGCACATCGATGGTGGTTTCACATCAGAGTCATGCACCCGTTTTTTTCTCCCAGAGCCTGGAGGATGAGGGGGTTGGCCAGTATCCTTTGGCCACCAGCTGGGGAGCCCTCCACTCTCTCCTGGGTGATGGTGTTTGTCGGGGACTTGAGGTCAGGAAGATCCTATGATTTGATACTTAGATTTGGGAGGCGACTCCGTTTCCCCAGCCCAGGGCACACCCCTCTGCACCTGGGTCACAGCTCAACTACCTCCGCAGGTGCCTGTCCCCCTGCCAAGGAAGCCCGGCTTCTTCCCAGGCTCCTTGTGATCTGCACACCTCCCACCAGGTGGCGCCAGCGCACACGCACGAGTCCCTTTCTCCCTCACGCGGGGCCTCTTGGATTTTTCTGCTGGCACCGGATGTGATCAGGGGCTGCTGGGAAATTCCCGCTGGTACCCAGAGTCTCACTATGAGTCCCCACCCGCCCGCCACTTGGAAGCACTCAGTTTGCTTATTATTGCGGGGGAGGCAGTCATCACACCCTGGACCCCACCCCCTTCCTCCCCGCCCTCCCTTACAAAAGCTCTCATCCACCCAGTTTATTCCTGCAGTTGGGGGGCCAGCACCCCCCTGGCATGAAAAACCAGGAGGGAGCTGAAGGATGCCAATCTGCACCCAGCTGTGGCCAGCAGCCACACACGCACGCACACACGCACGCACACACACACGCGTACCCATGCACCACCCCTCACCCCCAAGGTTTTCTGGAGAGGCTGGTGCTGAGGCTTAGAGTGCTGGCCTAGCACGCATGAAAACCTAGATTTCATTTCCAGTACTTTATAAATCTGGCAGTGTGGTACATGAGGTAATCGCAGAACTGGGGAGACAGGAGCAGGGGGACCAGAAGCTCAAGGTCATCCTTGGCTGTATACTAAGTTTGAGGCCAGGCCAGCCTGAGCTACACGAGACCTTGTCTCAAACAAGAAAACAAAAGTTTCCTGGAGCCCTTTTATGATCCCCCACCTTTCCTCACTTCCTTATTGCCAAATCCCTCTTAATCTGTCCTCTGTCCCTACAGTCTCTTGCCTCTGCACCACCACAGCTGGTCACGTAACGGATTTATGTAGATTCTGCACACACCCCATAATAGACTATGAGCGTCTCAAATATCGAATCTGATGTGCTGTGGTTTTTCCTAGACGCTGTGTACCTTGACTCTCCCAGCAAGAGGGTGATTTTCCCGAGGGTGGAAGTGTACTGCCAGATAGAGGTCGCCCTCGGCCATGAGCCCCCAGCTCAAAATCAGCCGAGCCTCCCAGCCCAGAGGGGCCGCCATGAAGACCCCTCACAACCCCGTGTACAGGGGGCTCCCAAAGAGGACAGAAAGAGTGGCCATTCTCCAGCTTCTCCACCAGTGCAGACACCGGAATCCGGGGCCAGGGGGGTTGTGGAGTCACCCCGGCCCACCCCAGCCCCACCCCAGCCATGCCCAGTAATGAGGCCGGGGCCGCCCACTGACCCCAGTGACATTTGCCCAATGAATCTTCGACCTCCAAACCTGAAGCAAGGAGTGAAGGGCGGCCATGAACTGGACTTGGCCACCGACCATGGCCAAGGCACAAAAAACCTGCCGGTGTTGCTCACCTCAACCTCAGCCGGGGACACACACAGCTCAAAGGCTGGATCCCCAATGCCTGCTACAGCGCCTGAATCCCTTGGTCATTCTGGACTGCTGCTCAGACACTCCCACGCAGCCACGGCAGCCACGGCAGCCACGGCAGCCACCGCAGCCCCTGGACTTCTGCCCTCCAGTCCTTCACCACCACCTGCCCTGGCACCTGTGGAGGAGCTGGACCCAGAGCAGTCCACAGGTGAGACTCCACCTGCCCTGGCCCTTAAGCAAGCAATTAACGATGCGGGACCGAGAAACACCAGTTGGTTGGATTAAAGTCATGCACCACCATTGACTGGCTAAAATCAAATAAGTCTTAAAAAAATAAAATAAACCAGCCGGTGGTGGTGCACTCCTTTAATCCTAGCACTCAGGAGGCAGTAGCAGGCAAATCTCTGAGTTCGAGGCCAGCCTGGTCTACAGAGCAAGTTCTAGGACAGCCAAGGTTATACAGAGAAACCCTGTCTTGAAAAAAGCAAACAAACAAGCAAATAAAAAATAAGTAAATAATTTAATATTGATATTAAAGACTTTACTATAATAAGCCATCTATATTTGGAACCCACACAATTTACAAATGTTTAACTGACAAAAATAAACACATGAGGCCCCAAATTTGATCTCCAGAACCCACATAAAACCTGGGTACAGCAGCTCATGTCTGTACACGCTAGCATGTACATGAAGGCAGTCAGATCCCCGGAGCTCACTGGCTGGTGAGCCTAGGCAGATCAGTGAGAAATTCTCTCTGAAAAATATAACTGAGGGGCTGGAGAGATGGCTCAGTGGTTAAGAGCACTGACTGCTCTTCCAACACCCACATGACCTCTGGCCTCAGAGTTTACTGTACACATATGTACACAGACATATATACCAGGCCTTTTCTTTTAGGCCACCAGCCAGCTCCCAAGTCGTGATATGGAGACTTCTTTTTTTTTTTTTTTTTTTTAAGATTATTTATTTATTTATTTTATTATACAGTGTCCTGCCTGCATGTATCCCTGCATGCCAGAAGAGGGCACCAGATCTCATTACAGATGGTTGTGAGCTGCCATGTGGGTGCTGGGAATTGAACTCAGGACCTCTGGAAGAGCAGCCAGTGCTCTTAACCTCTGAGCCATCTCTCCAGCCGAAACTTCTTATTAGTGATGAATGCTCGGCCTAGCTTAGGCTTGTTCCTGGCTAGCTCTTAAGTTAACCTGTTTTCTCTTCATCCACGCTTTGCCTCAGGGCTGTTTACTTTTCTTTCCTTCTGCACATCTTACCTTCACTGCTTCCCCTGTCTGCTGGCTGGCGGCCGCCTGGCTTCCGGCCCCGGACGTCCTCCTCTCCTTTCTCCTCCTCCTCTTCTTTTTTCCCCCTCTCCTATTTATTCTCTCTGCCCAGCAGCCCCACCTGTCCCTCTCCTGCCTAGCTATTGGCCCTTCAGCTTTTTATTAGACCAATCAGGAGCCTTAGGTAGACAAAGCGAAACGAAGTGTAACACATCTGTACAAAAGTAAACACACATCTTTATGTTGTTAAACAAATGCAGCATAAACAAGTGTAACACACCTTCACATAGTCAGATATTCCACAACAGACACGCATGTAGGCAAAACACACACACACATAAAATTTTAAAAAAATAGTTAAAAGATACTATGTTTGCTGGGTGTAGTGGCCCACGTCTTTAATCTTAGCACTTGGAAGGCAGAGGCAGAAGGATCTGTGAGTTCAAAGCTACCCTGGTGGACAGAGTGAGTTCCAGGACAGCCAGGGCTACATAGAGAAACCCTGTCTCAAAAAAAAACAAAAAAAAAAAGAAAAAAAGAAATTATAAAAATTGTTTTTCTTGACATCTCACTATTGTGTCTCTGGCTGTAGACCAGGCTGGCCTCGAACTCACAGCAATCTGCCCGGCTCTGCCTCCCTCGTGCTGGGAGTAAAGGGGTGCTGTACCACATCTGGCGTCTTTGCTGTCACTTGTTACTTACAAAACGACCCGGTACCCCCTACCTGCCATCCCACTCACACCTCCGCATGTTCACTCCAGCCGCAGGGCCTCCCGCCTCTTCACCACTGACCGACTCAGAAGCACCCGGCACCAGGAAGCAAGCGCCGCAGAAGCCTCTGCTGTAAGTTCTTCCTTCCTCAGGACATGTTCTTGCCCTTGCCCAGGGGAGGGGCCCAGCAGAGTGAGGTTTCCGCCTTATGGCTGCCTACGCAGCACTCAGCTCTCCCAGTCTGTGGGGCAACAGGCTGCCCTTCCCACCCTCTCCTCTCTCCCCCAGTGAGGCGCCACATGCCTATTGATGGGGTGATGCCATCCCACTGCCTCCCTCCTGCACACACACACTGGATGCTCCCTGCTCTAGGGCAATGGCAGTGTGTGCACTCCTGGTCCAGGATCTCGTTTTTGGGTGACGCCACAGCTGGAAAGGCCTAACAGGCACACCATCCTGGCCTCAGTAGCCCCGATGGTGTGATGGACTCTCGAATCTCCCTTTGGAAGCTGGCATGGTGGTGCATGGCTCGAACCCCAGCACCGTAACCTTGCGGTGGATGACAAGGATTGAGAGGGCTGAGCACGGGTGTGCGTGCGTGCGTGCGTGCGTGCGTGCGTGCGTGCGTGCGTGCGTGCGTGAATGCGTGTGTTCATTGCTCGCTGCTCTTGACTGTGGATGTGATGAGACCAGGCTGCCCTCACTTCCTCTTAGTGGTGGACTATAACCTGGAAGAGTAAGCCAAATAAACCCTTTCTGCCTTAGGTTGCCTTTGTCAGGGTGTTTACCACAGTGGCAGGAGCCCCACTGGGAGAGAACGCCTCAGTTGTCGGGGTTGTGCAGCGCACACTCGCCATCATCTCTGCAGGCGTGATAGGCCTGGAGAGCTGTAGCTTTTGAAGATCCCTGGGAACTACATTTCCCAGGATCCCTTGCTGTTTGGGTAACAGTTGGATTGGCCAGTGGAAGACAACCCCTGCCCCTCTTCAACTTTGTCTTTTAGAAAAGCAGGGTTGAAATATTCTGTTCTTTTGTTCTATTGTTGGGTCTGGGTCTCACTCCATAGCCCAGGCTAGCAGTGAGCTGGGAACCCAGCCTCTGTCCCCCGAGTCCCGGGACAGTTGTGTGCTATCATGCTCTCGGGCATTCTTCCTTAGACAATTGTATGTTGTTTCACATCAAACTTAAGATGTACCTGTACCTCCATTATAATTTTATCTCTAAAACTGGGTGTGTGTGGCTGGAGAGATGGCTCAGTGGTTAAGAATACAAACTGCTCTTGAATAGGACCTGACCGGAGTTCAGTTTCCAGCACCCACATTGGGCAGCTCACAGCAGCCTGTAGCTCCAACTCCTGGGAATCTGATGCCCTCTTTTGGTCTCCATGAATGCATACTCAGATATAGACAAAATACACATACATACAAAAATAAATCTTAAAAAGTCTCTGACAGTATGTTATGTTTGTGTGACTTTAACCTCTTTGTATCCACGTTTAGTAGGTACAAGTTTGAGCTCTGTTTGTCTCCTCGGCCTGTTATTGCCCAGATAAACAGTTAACGTTAACCAGAAATGTTTGCTGGGAACTCCAGCCTTGGCCAGTGCCACAGTCTCCTGAGCTGAGGCAGGACACTGATGATGGCAAACGCTATTCAGGCCATAACAAACCACCTCCTTGGTTCTCTGCCCAGGGACAATCCTGCTGTGGATTCAAACAGGACAAAAAAGATGTTCAAGAAGAAACAGAAGACAAACGCCACCAGAGAGTGCTTCCAGAGAACCCCTCGGTCCAAGAAGCCAGCTAGCAAAGTCCAGTAAGTGCCCAACAATTGTGATTAATGGACAGAAAGTCCCTGCTGGGCCGGGCAAGCTCAAGCTTACGGTTAGGACCTCGAGGCTCTCTGACTCTCCATTTCCTGACCTGCAGAGCAGGGGTGACCTGGCTCATAAGCCTGTGAGGGGACAGTGCAGGCTACCCTGTGAATGGGAAGCCATTCAGGAAGCAGCATGGGGAAGGGCACCATGGGTCCAGGACACCTGCAGCTATGGGAAGCTTCTGTGTTTTCCAGATTGGTTTTTTTTTTTTTTTTTTTTTACTTTTTTATTATTTATTTATTTTTTAATTTTTTGAGACAGGGTTTCTCTGTGTAGTTTTGGTGCCTGTCCTGGAACTCGCTCTGTAGACCAGGCTGTCCTCGAACTCACAGAGATCCGCCTGCCCCTGCCTCTCGAGTGCTGGGATTAAAGGCATGCGCCACTGCCACCCAGCTTATTTATTTTTTGAACAGAGTTGCCCTGACTGTCCTAGAACTCACCATGTAGACCAGGGTGGCCTCAAACTCACTGTGCAGCTAAAGCTGACTTTGAACTCTCGATCCCCTCCTGCTTCCAGCTCTCCAGTCCTGGAATTATGAGCATGTGGCACCCTGTCCGGCCTATGTCAATCTTCTTCTGACCTCAGACACCTTACTTGTTTGCCTATAAGCACTCTCCAGTCCATTCGGTAGAAACCTCTATTTGACGTTTATTTATTTATTGTTTGCACTTGTGCACACACATGAGTACATGCCACAGAGGTCAAAGAACATCGCTCTGGTGTCGGCTCTGACCTTCTCTTCTACGGGTCCCCAAGATTGAATGCGGGGTGGCAGGCTTGGAAACACAAGCCTCTAACCACTGAGCCATCTCGCTGACCCCATACTTTGCTTCCACATCCCTCTTGGGTTCATGGACTCGTATTTTATTCAGCTGTCAAGTAGTTCCTCTTCTCGCGTGGTTGCTGGACCTGTCAACTCAGAACTGGCTGCAGAGAGGGTGTCACAGACCAGATGAGTTAGGCATCTGCCTGTTCAGAGGGCCAGCGTTCAAGGCTCCCTCGTGATTGCTGTATCCACAGCAATGTTACCCAGGAGCTGGTGGGACCCCAGCTTTGGGTCCAGTTGGGACCCTCTGAATAAGGAACTGTGGTCACCACGTAAATAAATAAATGTAACTTTTAAATTAAAACAACAACGAAACCTATCCGTGAAGATGCAAATCTACACCAAACTTACCACTTGTAATTTCCCAGAGAGGGCAAGCAGCTACCCTGGGGTCCCACAGCAGGTGGAATGGCTTGGAACTCTAATTGCTCTTCCTGTTTCCCTCATGAATGTGTCCTTGGTTTCTGGAATCCAGGTCTGCTCCTTGCCCACTGGACTTCTCCACTTCTAAGACAGTTTGGGTCACCTACAAGCCTCATCCCAACCGGATCCAAGAATACAGCTGCCCCGAGGTATGGATTCCCTCTGGGTGTCCTCCCAAGGGTGACCTTGCCTCTCCTGTCCTGGAGGGCTGTGTCAACCCGGAGCATGTCCTCTGACCTCATTTCTGCCCTTCCCTCCCTTCCTGGCACAGCCATTGTCAGCTCTAGTGAATTGTGTGTGAAGAGGACAGCTGGGGCCGGGTGGTGGTGGTGGTGGTGGTGGTGGTGGTGGTGGTGGTGGCACACGCCTTTAATCCCAGCGTTTGGGAAGCAGACGCAGGTGATCTTTGTGAGTTCAAGGCCAGCCTGGTCTATATAATGAGTCCAAGGCCAGTCAATACTACACAGTGAGACCCTATCTCAAAACCAAAGAAAGGAGAGAGAGAGAGAGAGAGAGAGAGAGAGGAGCAAGATGGGATGCTGGAGGAGGTGAAGGCGCACACCTTCAATCCCAGCACTCAGGAGGCAGAACCAGGTGGATCTCTATGAGTTTGAGGTCAGCCTGGTCTACGTATCAAGTTCCAAGACAGCTAGGGCTGCATAGCAAGATTCTATCTCAGAAAAACAAAACAAAATAAAAGGAAGAGAGCTGAACAGAAGCACACAGATAACCTCCAAAGAGCACCCAGATGTCTGTGATCCACCTGCGTCCATGCCCGGCAGAGTACACCAGCCACACAGCTGATCTGAGAGGGACTCCACCCCCACCTCCTGGAAAGCAAGTACTAATTAACCTTTTATAAACTGAATAACATTTCAAACACCTTTAAAATCGCCTCCTCATGGGGAACCCCCTTTGCTGAGCAGCTAAGGGTCTGGGATAATAAAGTGAACCCCTAAACTAGCTTTTGGCATGGTCCAGGTTTTTTTTTTTTTTTTTTTTTTTGGTTTTTCAAGACAGGGTTTCTCTGTGTAGCTTTGTGCCTTTCCTGGAACTCACTTGGTAGCCCAGGCTGGCCTCGAACTCACAGAGATCCACCTGGCTCTGCCTCCCAAGTGCTGGGATTAAAGGCGTGTGCCACCACCGCCCGGCTGATTCCAGGTTTTGATCAAGTACCACAGAGGGACGCTGGAAAGGAGGTCACGGTGGAACTAAAGCCAGGATGTCCTAGTTGGGGGCGCTCGAAATGATGACTCTTTGTCTTTTCTTAGGGACTAGGTGGACAGAACTCCTAGGCTGAAGCAGGAGAGACCCCAGTGACCTGGAGCCCAGGTCCAGCCTCCCACCCAAGGCAACCGGTCTTGGGACCAGGGGACGCCCTGAGCCACCCAGCACCGCAGTGTGTTTCTTTGTTTGAAGAGTCTCCAGCCCACTGAAGTCTCCATTTATAATCCCTGGAACCCCCTCCCTAAACTGTTCCCTGGGATCTCCCGAGGGAGGGACCTGACTAGCATTCTGGGCTTTAGGGTGTTTTCAGCTCCCTCCCCCTGGAATTATGTGGCTCAGCCATGCTGACCAGCAGCCAAGGACTTTCCGAGTCTTGGAATAGCAGTGGAAGATGTCAAGGACCAAGTGTCCCTCCCCCCAGCACCAGTGAGGGCAGAGTGTCTTTCACGCGGCTGTCACCGTGACCCACAAGGAAGACATCCTCAGCCTCGTTGGGTGATGCTTTGGGAGACATATAAAACTAAACATCTGCGCTCAAGCTGGCCTGGCACAGCAGCCCCAAAATGGTTTGTTCAAGTTCATCGTGAGGGGTAAAGATAAGAAAAGCAGTTCCCTGGAGAGCTGCGTTCCTGAGGCCACCAGCCAAGCCCCTGTGGCTCTTGTTAATCCCACCAGGCAAGAATAAGACCACTGCCACAATTTCTGAGCTAAATTTGAAGCAAGCTTTATTAAAAACAGGCCAGGACAATGGGTACTGGCCAGGTCCATATCTGGGATTTCCAGAGAATATCCATGAATTACCTTAGTTCAGTGTAAAACACCCAAGGCTACAGACTCCCCACCTTCGTCCAATCAGGGGCAAGCAAACACACACACACACACACACACACACACACACACACACACACACACACACACACACACACACGCCTCATGTGATCACACATGTCCTGTGCAGTTGGGGCAACCAACCTTGTTTCCAGAAGTGGAAACACACGGCCTGTTACCTTACATGAACAGCAGCCCCCAGCACCTCAGGAAGTCATCTGTCCTTGGGCCAGTGGGGCTCACAGGTTAGAGACATTTGTGTTTTATAGATCTCTTAAGCATAGTAATTTAAACTAAAACGTAACTTTAGCCCTCACACTCCAGGTCTCCAGCAGAACTGATGCAGATCCTGTGAGAGCACTGAATGGAAAAAAAAGAGAGAGAGAGAAAAATAAAAAGGAGGACATGACTGCTCCCAGCTATGGTAGAGGAGAAGGTTTATAGTAGATATACAGGAGAAAACAGCCAGAGGCATCGGGAAGAGTCCAGAGTGAACATGGCCTTCATCCAAGCCGTGAGGAGGAGATGGGGTGGGGGAGAGAACCAGGAGCCAAGAGGCCAAAAGGACCCCGTGGCCCAAATGTCTGGATTATATAGGAAAGAGCAGCTGGGGGAAAGGTATCCCAGCCCCTGGATTGGAGAATTCAGGGTAGAGGGCAGGGTATGCCAGCCAGGAGGGCCCTGTGACAGGTAGGGACTGAGGGATGCTGGGAGACCCTGGCAGCCAGCATCTGCTTGGATACATTAGTAGGCATCTCAGCCCTTTGTCCCGGGTTTGAGGCCTACCAAGCACTATCTCGGGTTGACGCAGTCCAGATGACCACAGGCTTAGCTGACACAAAGCACAGATACATCAAACCCTGAGCAGATTGGGGTTGCATGCTTGCCCGCACCCCATGCCTGTCTCTACAGACACTGGCTGTGGGAAGGATGGCTTGGTTTGCCTAAGTCTGCTGTGAAGAAAGACTCTCCTGAAGCTTGCTGCCAGGTGGAGTCGCTCTGGCTAGGGTTCGGAGGACGGGCCTCACTACAAACCTCAACATTTCCAGGCCGTGCCCCCACGGCTCCCTAGAAAGGAAACTGCCCCGGCAAGGAGGCCCAGGCTGCCCGCAGGCTCCAGCAGTATTTGCTTAACAAATACTCAAATGTAAAACCCAGAACTGACGCTGATGCTCAGCTGTAAGTTGGACTTGGCCACTGAGGACCCAGGGGTAAAAACGTAAGCAGAGAAAGGGGGACCCTGTGACAAGGAGGCCTTGGAGGGGCCTAAACGTAACAGTCGTTTCAGGGGACCAAACAGGCTTTTGAAAAGCAAGCAAAGAATCAAGGTTCAGAGAGGGACCTGGCGGCTCAACTCTAAAGGAACGGGAGTTCAAGGTCATCCTAGGCTACCTAGTGAGTTAGGGACTAGCTTGGGCTACATAAGACTCTGTCTCAAATGTGATAGCCTCCGTACCACCCACCCACTGCCAACATAAAATCGAGACCCCTGATGTCTGGCAGGGATGCTCTGGCTGATCCAGTGGTATAAGCCATGAGGCGCGGGAGCTGGAGTTTGGCTTGTGGCCGCAGGTCCCCAAGATATAACTTTCATCTGAGTGTGAGGACCTTCATCTACAGGAGAGTCCTTCTCAACCCAGAAATAACAATTCCCTGGCCCAGGGTACTCAGCCGCCATTAACGACGGTCTTCCCTCAGAGCGAGTAGTCAAGCCCAGACGCTTCCAACGTCACCATTATCCCAAGGATCCTGGGCCCCTTGCAGACTCTCTTGGCTTGTGTTCATTTCTCCTGTTTTGAGGTAATGGAGAGAGATCTTTGTTCTAGTTCTAGGATTGGCAGATGAAACACAGGACAGCTTGTGAGTGAACCTCTCAGGTAAACACGGAACAATTATTTTCATGGTGGGATGTGCCCAAAATTATAGTCATTTACCTGAAATTGAAATTTGCTGGACAGACTGCATTTTCATTTGCTAACTCTGGTAACTTTAATTAGTCCCTTTAATCTCTTCTTCCCCTTATTTATGTCTTTGTTTTCTTTAAGCACAGGGTTTTATTTTGTAGTCTTAACTGGCCTGGAACTTACTAAGTAGACCAGGCTGGCCTTGAACTCACAGAGATCCACCTGCCTTTGTCTCAAGAGTGCTGGGATTAAAGGCCTGAGCCATCGCATCTGGCCTTTCCTTTTTCTATCAACTCAGGGACCGATTTCTGTTTGTAGACCAGGTCTTACGTAGCCCAAGCTGAACTGGATATTGTTGGGTCTCAAACCCGGGACAAAGAGCTAACAGAGGTGCCTATCTGACATATCCAAGTGGACTCCGGCCAGTCTCCCTTAGTCTCTCCTCACAAGTACCCGTTACAGAGTCTTCCTGGCTGACATATCCTGCCCCCCACCCTCTCCAGTCCCTGAGCATTACCCCTAACCCCCAGCTTCTCTGACTCCTATATAACCCAGCCATTTTGACTGTCTCCTCTTGGTCCATGCGCTCTCTTGGTCTCTTAGTCCGTGGCTCCTCTTTTGGTCCGACGTCCCCCCTGCTCCCCATCTCTTCTTCTCTCAACACCTACACCGCCCCCCACCCCAGCTCCTGCTCATGCCCCGGTTCAGTCTGCTGGGCATGCTCAGTCTGGGCTCTTCCACATGCCTCAGGCTGTTCTCTCCCTCATGTCTATAGTCAGCCTTCTCTCTCGTCAGCCATGTCCTCATTTTTTCATTCAGACTTGTAGCATAGAAGGGCCTCTTGCCCCATCTACGTCCACGCACAGTCACATTCAGCTTCGTGGACTATTAAAAAAGAAAGATGGCTGACCCGGTCTCTGTGCCCCTCACCTTGACATTCGCAGGGTTGTGGAAGTCCCGAGGGCAATGCCTCGTTCCCGACATTGCAGAACGGGAAGCCTGGGGCTCCTGACCGCCCAACCTATGACCCCTCTGTCACTGTGACATCATGGTGTCACCCCAAGGATGGACCACATGAGAAATATCCAGAGAGAACCCAGGGCAGGGGACAGGGAGGCTGAGCCCCTCTATCCAGCAGGCTCCAATTGTCCTGGATGGGGCAGAGTAGTGGTCATCCTGCATCTACTGGATGGGACGGGGGCAGCCATTTTGTCTCCACTGGATAGGGCAAGGGGGTGGTCATCTAGCTTCTCTAGAAAGATCCAGATCACACTCCGAGAAAGTCAGCATCTTTATTGGTGCAAACAACACAGTACAAAAAACGAGACTTGGATGCCAGCATCTGGAACTCATACCTAATACTCTACCACCCGGAAGGTCCTCACTGATAAGAAACTACGTCCAAGGTTTGGAAATGACTCAGTGTTTAAATGTGAGCTGCTCACAGCCACCGCAACTCCCGCTCCATGAGATACAGTGCCCTCTTCTGGCCGCTGTGGGCACTGCACTCATGTACACGAACCCACACACACATAATTTAAAATGAAAACAAAATCTTTAAATAAAAGAAATGGTACAGTTGGATGTAGTGGCATATTCCCGTAATCCTAGCTATTGTTAGGCAGAGCAAGACTGCCTCAAGTTCAAGGCCAGCCTGGACTATGTATGACACTGATTGTCTTACTGATAAAATAATAAAGAAAAAATAAATTATGTACAAAAGGTTCCTGACCCTCATCTCAAAACTTACTTCTTGCACGTCAGTGACGCATCCCTGAATACTGCCTAAAATAAACCTATAAGGAGGTCACCAAGTGCCAATAAAAACACCTTGAAGCAATTAAAAAAAAAAAGGATAATTTTAGTTGAACTTCCTGAAAGGATGCCTCAGGCTCGAGGCTGGTCCCACTTGAGAGCCCAGGCCTCCTGACCCTCATTCTGTCTCTCACCCATAGTCCCTGCCATGAGCCTGACGTACGTACCACGTGATCACCGTGATCACCGATAGTCTCCAAGGCTAAGGAGACTCGGTCTGCCATCTAGGCTCTAATACCCTCCCCCACGGTCCCCGCCTTCCTGCCAATGGCCAAGGGAGTCAGTGGCCTTATCACCTAAGTGTGAGTACGGACATGTGAGAAACCGCCCATCTGAGTCACTGGCCAGCTGGGTGGGAGGCAGGGCCTTTGGCACCCACACCTCACAGTTGTGCAAATAGACACACCCACAAGAGGGAGCCATCAGCGGGGAGCATGCTATCACGTCCACAGCGTGCAGAAGGGCGGGACAAAGACTGCGTGTCCTAGGCCTGGAGCAGCACACACCTGTGCCGCCATCGGGGGCAGCCCAGCCGGAAGCCCTCCGTCGACTTCCGATGAGACCATGATAAAGTAGCCCAGGTATAGCATGCATGTGTCCTCACAGTACTCGAGAAGCTAGCCTGAGCTACATATTGAGACCATGTCTCAATACAATAAAAATAATTATAGACATAACACTAGATAACTTTCAGAATCTTCACAAGGCTAATAGGATTCTGGGAGGTCAGGGGTTCCCCCAATCCATAGGTCACCCCAGGTTTCTGTTAGGGTCTGCAGAGTTCCCAGGGGTCTCATGAATCCACTAGCATTAAACACTATTTGGTCAACTGAGTAAGTGACGTGTGTCAGAGACTCAGCTGTTGAATGCATGTGCATTTTTTTTGAGTTGGAGACCGAATTGAAAAAAAAACTATTTTTCAAAACAAAGACTCATTTATCACCGTGGGGTGTGGTGGTTTGTGATGTCAGCAATGGAGAGGCAGAAACAGGCGGATCCCTGGACTCTCAACATTACATAAACCCACTTGGGAGTCCCAGGCCAGTGACAGACCCTCTCTCAAAAAACAAGGTAGGTAGAACTGGAGGAGGTTCCACTGAGGTTGACCTCTGACCTATACCCACACAGCCCCCACCCCCAAAGACACATACACACACACACACACACACACACACACACACACACACACACACACACCCTAGATAATACTCATTGAAAGCCGGATCTGGCGGGTGTCAGTCAGCCGTCATGACAGTGGGATGGAGAGATGCAGAGGTGAGACCTCTCCTCAGGTTCAGTGGGTGAAGCCGGCTCTCCTAACCCCAACCCAGTCCCCACCCCCAGTTGGCCTCCTGGTCCAGCTTCCAGGAAGAAAAGCATCCCCAGACAGAGCGTCAGTGTCCCCCGCTCGTCTCCAGGCGTGTTGGGGAAGCACAGACCAGGCCGTCCTGCGTGTCTTCGGGGTCTCCGTGCCAAAGCTGCTGCTGGCCGCCGGCTAGTCCGGCAGAACTTGGGTATGAGATGCGGCGGCGGCGGCGGCCTTCAGTCCGGACTCTGACCAGCGGGACTCGTGATGCTCTGGGAGGGGGAAAGGCCGCAGCCGCGTCAGCGGGTCCCATTCTGCACGCAGCACGCTTCCCAGCCCCGGCCCCGTCCACGCCCCCGTCCACACCCACGCTGCGTCCACACCCACGCTGCGTCCACTGGCCTGTGCAGCTGTTCCCGCACCGTGAACAGTGGTCCACAGCCCTCCCACCTCAGCTATAGGCTCCAAAGTTTGATCGTCCAAATTGCATCCGCCATCCTCTTGGCGGCCGCCGGGGACCACTGGCTCCCCCTGCCTCGGCCGCCAGTCCTTTGACATCTGACTACCGCTTAATCCTGTCGTCGTGGTTTAGAATTGTCCCAGAAGTCTGCACAAGGAGGTGGCATGGGAACCGAAGCCTAAAACTTCTGACTGATGGGCCTGAGAGAGGGCTCGGCAGGCACTGGCACTGGCCACTAAGCCCGCACCCACGGCTCCCACGGCCGCGGCACTCACACACGTGGCAGGTGTGCCCACACGCAATAAATGGATGTCATTTTAGAAGAAAGTTGCTGGAGAGATAGCCTAGCGGTTAAGAGCACTGGCTGCTCTTCCAGAGGACCCGGGTTCAATTCCCAGCACCCACATGGCAGTTCACAACTGTCTGTAATTCCATTTTCAGGGGATCTGACACCCTCACACCAATGCACATAAAATAAAGTTCTTAGAAAGAAGTCTGATTGAGCACGTCAGCAGAGTCGGAAGATCCCGTTTGCCATCCCACCTTGGGACCCACTGCTGCGGCCCGCCCGGCCCTCCGCTCGGGCGCTCACCTGCTGGTCCTTCCTGGACAGGAAGTGGGCATAGCTGTGCCCCCGGTACTGGCCTCTGGACTGCATGAGGGTGCAGATGGCACAGCTGTGGTTGGCGGCAAACTTGTTGAGTGAGCCAAAGGCGCACGGTGGGGGTCTGCTGGCCAGGCTCCTGTCCTCCTCCGAGAGGCAGGCCTTCTGTCTGTCTGCGGTGACCACCAGCTTCCTGAAGGAGGCATGCGAGGACTCATGGGCCTTTTGTCTGTCTATGGTGGCCACCAGCTTCCTGAGGGAGGCATCCGAGAACTCATTTAAAAAATTCCTGAAGCTGGGGTACTGCCGGATCTGGAACAAAAGTGGAGGTCGTCGTCAGTGCTGCAGGCAGAGAGCCTCCCACCCCAGCCCGCTCCCTGGTATCTGTGTGAGCACCCCTCCGTTAAGGTCCCTCCCCCAGCCCCCCTCCCCGTCACTTCTACAAGGCATGATCACAGCAAAAAAAAAAATGAAAGTGCATGCACGCACAGCCCTGCACAGAACATGTCACTTGGAGCCTCTAAGTTTGGCTATAAAAATGGGGGAGACCAGATCCCCTCTCCAAAACGGTTAGGGGCAGAAGCGAGACAGTTCACGCAGAACGTTTAATGGCTTCTTAGCGCCACGTTAAGGTTCTTCCGGTCAGTTTTCTTCTCTTCCTATCTAGACATGGCAGCTGGGGTCTCCTGGGGGCTGGCCCCAAAGACAAAGACTTGGGTCACATGTGGTGTATTGGAGATCCTGGACACACGGATGGGGAATGAAGATCTGGGACAAGGCGGGGGAAATAAGATCTGGGACAAGGCGGCCCAGGCAGCCAGGGTGGAAGATGCTCTCAGGAAGTGCACAGTGTTGATTTTCCCTACTGTACATGGTGGCAGGGGACGGGG